CAGTCTTTTTTTTCAGTCTCAGTCTTGGTCTCGTCTTGACTATGTCTTAATCTTGACTCGGTCTGTCTTGGTCTTAGTCTTGGCCTTGATACCCTCTGGTCTTGGTAGTGTCTTGGTTTTGGTTTAGGTGGTCTTGACTACAAGTCTACTGGTAAGTGAGCTAATGATCACAGATCTTGTTAAGGATGACCCTAGCAAGGACCTTACCTGGAACTGAGAACAATGTTATCCCTCTTTAGTTGCCGCAATCCAGGCAATAACCCTTCCCTTTCCAGGTAGGGACTAGAAGTCCCATTTTCCAATCAGTTGGGATGACGCCTGACTCCCAAATAGAAGCAAAGATTACCTGCAATGCCAGGAGGGCAGCCTTACCACCAGCCTGGATACACTCCGGATACCACAGATCCCTGTGGCCTTCTCTGCCCCTAGCTGGTTCATCACCTGTGCAATCTCAGTGAGACTGGGTGATTCACAGCTAATCGGAGGATCAGCCCCAAGAACCATAGACCCAGAGACGTACAACATCCTAGGCGGAGGGTCAGCTTTAAACAGCTGCTCAAAGTAGCCTGCCGAGTGGGTCACAACTGCAGTGTCATCCGTAAGAACCGTTCCATCACCTACTCTGACTTTGACTGTCTGAGGAACAGATCTGGATACGCATAATGCTTAAATTCCTCTGTAAACTGGATGTGGGTTGTTGGATCACAGGTGGTATGCCACTTGTTCTGACAAACACCTCCTTATGCCCTTGCAGCCATACGTCTCACTTCCCAGTACAGACTGGGGGAATCCCAGTTAAAAATTCCTTGAACTGCTTTTGCTGCCCAGTTTAAAACTTTTGTTCGAAAAGTAATCCAAAACATGATCAAATGTAATAAGTTGCATTACTTTGATGAAGTAATCAAAACAGTTAATTACTTATTACATATCTAACAGGCTAACTAGTAATCTGTAACCTATTATATTTAAAAAGTAACCTTCGCAGCACTGTTCATACCTATTTCACTAGAAATAGCAAAACAACTAACTGGTAAGTGTATCGTATTAAAATTTGAAATACTGAAAATAAAATAATACACACCGCACTCCCTCCCCAAACAACCTATATCTCAGCTGGGTTTCATACTCCCTTTATGAAATTACCATTTAAATTCTGAAACTTCCCATAAGGAGTAGATATCTTTTAGTTGCATTTTAGTAGCTTTTATCAGAGATAACTTTTGGTACGTTTTGACAGATTCAACTTAATATGTTCTAACATGTTTAGAGGAACCCTGTGTTAATAATAGTAAAAATATTCCGTACAAAACAAAATGTTCTGTTTTGTTAATTTTTCAACACGTGAAAGTAGTGGACAAGTATGGTGTCAATATACCCCACAATACACTGACACTGTCCCCTGAAACTTTCTTGCTCACAGATCTATAAATCTTACCATTTTAATTTTCACCGAGGTAATGTAGAATGCAAGTGATTTCATTTGTTCACGTTTTGTTTTACAAAGCCAAATTTCTGTTAACTACAGAAATAAGGACTACATTATCTTTTAAACTACACATCTAGACAGACTGATAAAGTTTAGCAAAGGTCACGTTAATTCTATTCTCCACAAATGGATCCAAATATTTCTGATGTGAATTTTATACTGGGCTCAAAGTACTGATCTTTCTCTAAACTAAATTGCAGTAGTGCTGTAAAAGTCGTCTTTGTAAGTCATTTTTATCTTGACCATGCGTGACTTTGCTGTATTATGGTACGGTAATTACATGTCCCCAACCGTGAATGCATTATGCCACTATGAACAATTTATTTTCTCCTTTCACGCAGGAGAAGCGCTTTTTGTGTTTGACAGCTGTGGACACATGACTGCGACTCCCTATTGCTAATTAACATATCACTGAGTTATGTTTAACCCGGGCAGGGTATGAACAGAGATAAAACACCTTTTCCTTTCCCACGCCAGACCTTCATCTGTTTGGATATTTCCGCAGTGCCTATCCGTGCCTCACTAATTCTCTTTCCTCAGATTTCTCCACCTTATTTGAAGAGTCTGGTGATTGAAGATAAAGCTTTTTGTTTCCAGGGGTGAGAGAAAGAATAACCAAAGGGGCTGAATACCATTGACTTCAGACTGAAAGGGGGGTTCTGTGTTTGTAGTGCTGTTGGGAGAATCCTTGTAGAATTTTCAATTATTTAAGTATTTCTTTCAGAGATCTGCCTTAGTGGCCCCTAATCAACTTCACCATGATGCAGTATGAGGATCCGAATGATCTGAAGGATCCGAAGACTCAGAAGCGGTATTGCATGCAAGGCAAGCATGTAGCTATCATCTGCGCTGTGGTGGTCGTCTTGACTGTAACAGTGGGCCTGGCGGTGGGCCTCACCAGCTCCTGCCGCCCCTCAGAGGAGGGGATGCCCACACTGCCGCCAACCCCGGAGGAACGTGGCCCGTGCCGGGCCTCCAATGACACCAGCGGAAACTGGACGAACTTCCGGCTGCCCAGCTATGTGATCCCGGAGCACTACGACCTCCATATGGAACCCGACCTGGAAGCAGACAGCTACACTGGCACCGTCTCAGTGACCGTGCGCATCACCAGTCCCACTCGCCACCTATGGCTCCACATACGAGAGACTTTCGTCCGCTCCCCCCCACGGCTGCAGAAGACCAGTCCCAGCAGCCAGAGTGATGTGGCCCTGAGGGGCTGTTTTGAATTCAAGCCCCAGGAGTACGTGGTGGTGGAGGCGGCAGATGAGCTGCCGGTCACTGGCCCTGACGAGTATTATGTGCTGACACTGGACTTTCAAGGCTGGCTTAACGGGTCCCTGGTGGGCTTCTACAGAACAACCTACCAAGAGAATGGGGTGACCAAGTAAGTACCACTGGGCAGAACCATTACGCAGTCAAGTGCTACAGAACCGGGATCGGTATATATAATGTCACCTACTTTAGTTAAGAAATGTTAAGTGTTGAAGTTTAATGACGGAATTTTCTCAAAAATGTATGTTGCTTTGAATCAAAGTGTGTGCTAAATAAGCAAAACATAGATATAAAATATTAAATGGTCTAATATGCTGCAGGATTAGTGTAACGGGGAGGTAAATTAAACTTTATCTGTCACTTATCAAAGATTCTGACAAACAGAATCTGATTCTGAACTAGACAAACAGAAATTATTGATGCATTAAATAATTTCCATCTGTCTAATGCTTGTGGTGATCTGTTGTGTGCTCTGAAAAGAAATAATACTCTGTGAGTATTATGAATCTTTCCAACTTCAGTAACTTTTGGCAGACTTGCATTCAAGTTTGTCTCCGTTAATTTAACATTAAGATGTAGCGAGTTCCTCAAGGGGCAGAGATTTAAGCCGACCTGTTGCGGGCTACAGCTCTGTGCCCCACATATAATGTGTAGAAATTCCAGCCTGTTTTGGACACAGCACAACAGGGAGTTGGTGGCCCAGTCACACTGCTGTGGGAGTCCGCTCTTTTGAGGAGGGCACCCCTTAGGCCAAGTAGCCCGTGTTGGGGTATGAATGGAAGCCATTCAAAATGGATACCTCAAGGATATCATAGGTATGAAAATCACCTGTGAGATTATTCGTGGAATATCTTGACCAATACTGGCTATTTATTCATAGCATGATTGGTTAGCGGTTAGCACTTCAGCCTTATGCCTCCAGGGCTGGGTCAAGATTCCCACCTTGGCTCAGTGTAGACAGAGTGTTCTTGTTCTTCCTGTGTTTTCTCAGTTTTCTGTGCGTCCTCTGGACTCCTTCCACAGTCCAGTAGCATACAGTTAGATGATTGGCTGTCTCTAGGGGGCGGTGCGTGACTTAGCAATGTCTGCGATCTGAAGGTCACTGGTTTAAACCCAGCCTTGGCAGAATAGTCACCTGCAACCTTAACCTGCAGCTCCCTGGGTGCCACAAGCTTTGCTCGCAACTGTATGCAGAGCAAGATGAGGCAAAAGAGAATTTCGCTACGGGGGATTAATGATGTACCTCTGTTGTATTCTAAATTGCCTCTAATGTGTCATGGTTTGTGTGCCCTGTGTCGGACTGGCGTCCCATACGGGGTGACCCCTGTTTCGTGCCCTGTGTTGGACTGGCGTCCCATACGGGGTGACCCCTGTTTCGTGCCCTGTGTTGGACTGGCGTCCCATACGGGGTGACCCCTGTTTCGTGCCCTGTGTTGGACTGGCGTCCCATATGGGGTGACCCCTGTTTCATGCCCTGTGTTTCCTGGGGCAGGCTCCTGGTTTGCCGTGATCCTGTATTGGATAAATGGTTATGGCAGAGGGGAGGGCGGGTGGATAGATGGTTATTTAACAAATGTACATAAACGTGCAGAAAATGAATCAGAGGTATCCTAATAAATAACGCCTAAGAAAATGAAAGAAATTACAACATTTATAAAGTAGTTTGAATGATCAATGATCTGCTTGACCTCAAGTTTTCAATACATCATGATCTGGGTGTAGTTTTAAAGCAAATTATATTTCTTAGTGAGCTATTGTCTGGCCATTTCTCAGTCTGACTGATAATATCTCCTAAGAAAAGTTTCTATTGGAGGAAGGGCTACACATGGGTGTAATTCTGCAGTGTATTTGGCAACTCAATTCCTAGAAACATAAAGCAGTTACCATATGAGTGCAATAAGCTTCATTATTGCTGTATACTACAAACAAGCTCAATGGGTTAAAGTACAGTGGGCCAGTGTCTTTTCTGCTGGTCTTAGGGGTCTTTGTTAGCTTTCATATGCTAGTAAATGAATCACTGTGGTTTGTGCTGTAAGATTTGGATACCACCTGTATATGGTGGAACTGGCAGTAAAATTTGTATATATTTTCCATTTTACCTGTTCCTCTTTGATTTATACTCATCTGTGAACCCCAGGGCCTAACATTTATATTTACTCTTTGAAAGAAATATGCACAAATAATATTCTGTTTAATTATAGAAAAACAATCAAATGTTTTTTTCTTTCTTGCTATAATGATCATTTAGGTTGACCGGCACAATTATGAAATATTGGAGAATTCTGAACTAGAATATGAACGCGAACCATTTCACTTTCAGAAAAATTGCTGCCACTGACCATGAGCCAACAGACGCCCGCAAGTCCTTCCCATGCTTTGATGAGCCGAACAGAAAGGCCACGTTCACCATCTCCATTACCCACGACAGAGCTTACAGCGCGCTCTCCAACATGCCCATCCAGGTACTTATTTTTTTCACTTTGTTTATCATTGTTTTGCAATTTTTTTCAGGATGGCAGGTGTATTGTGTTTCAGAGGCAGGCTATCTTCAAGTCCCACCCCAATGTACCGACGTATTAAAAAAGAACCTCAGCTAGTTTAGGTACTGGTACTTAACCGAAAGTCAGTGGAAAAGGGAAAGTATAGAAAGTATTGTACCAAAAGTATGGTGCATGCCGCAGTGGAAAATCACTCTATGTTGCATGGATGAAGCAGAAAAGCATAAACGACGCAGTGAAACATAACATGTTTATTCCTAAATGCCTGTAGCAGACACTGAATGCTAGGGTTGATATATTGCTTGTTAATTTCAAACAAACTTGAGTTAAGGTAAATTATAGGCCAAATCCAGCATAATACTGTTAGCAATAAACAGTCTGGTCCTGCTGTTTTTGGGAGTCAGAGCTGGGGAGAAGTGAAGCAATGTCTCATCAAAGGATCAAAGAGAAAGCAAGGCTGAAGTATGATCAATCTTTTATGTTTGTCTCCCCTTGAAAGCACAAAAATAGCGATGTATTAATTTGGCCTCCTTTTTCATTTTTTCTCCAGAAAACGGAGGAAGTCCCTGGCAACAAGATTAAGTCATCCTTTGAAAAGTCAGTACCCATGAGCACCTATCTGGTCTGCTTTGCTGTGCATCAGTTTGTGTCTGTGGAACGAAATTCTTCACGTGGAATTCCAGTAAGTCTTCTCTTTTTTGTTCTCTTTCTAAGAAAAAATTGAAATATCAAGGAAGATCTTCCATGTTAAAGAATGACAAATTGCCAAAATATTGTTTAAAGACCTCATTTGGCAGCTTCAACATCAACCTTTCTGCTCTGGCCTCATGGAAATCAGTTTCCTTACTACATAATAGTATCTTTCAGTGTGTAAACTCATTTGCAAACCCAACATGCCAAATGTGACTTTTGTAGTGCCTTGATTCCACATGAAAACCATAATGAATCACAGAATAATCTAGCTCAGCTTTTGGGTGAGGGAATGGAATGCAAGCTGGCAAAGAAAACAGAATGAATATGAAAAATGAATTAAACAGGACAGCAAATAAGAGAGCAATGTGCAGATTTTTGAGGCTCATTTTCAGTGAATCACAGGTTTTTTTATACGTCAGTGACACACAGTGGGCATCTGAAAACTTATATTGAAATATATAGTATACACATATGATTGTATACTGTATGTTAAGTCAGAAATCAGCAATCTGGTTTTGCTTTCATCAAGCCAATGTAAACATCCTTCCTACAAATGAATATTATATTATTTTTTTTATTGTAATTACAATTTAATAAATGGTCCAAAGCACGTTTGGGTCGATATCTCCTGTCCTGTTAGTCTTACAATCGAAATTCTTTTTTCTACATATACAGACAGCCTTGCTCTACCAACTTGCCATTTGAACTATGAAGCTCCGTCTAGATTTTTTGCTAATTTTCATAATTTGCAAAACCTACTTCTGCCTTAAAGTCCTAACCTGTCCGACCAAATCAGAGTTTTTATTGTAATTACAAGTCTTTAATCTGTATAAATGTGGGTTAAGAGAATTGAAAGTTTGGTTTTTACTGCACCTAAAAAGCAATTTATTTTAACACACTGCCTTATAGCATCTTTTGAAAAGTGAAAAATTGCACATGCTGTATATAAAATTATATGAGATAACTACTTTTTAAATATTTACAGGTAATCTGGGATGTGCAATGAACATATGAATTGAAGGAACAAAGAGATTAAATTGTTAAACTGGTGCCAGGCTTTAGTGCTTCAGATGTATGTGGAATGGTGTAGGTTGTACAACAGATGGGCACAGATTAAGTCTTAAAATCTCACTGTAATGCCATTCCTCTGTCTGTCCTTCCAGCATGCTTTTTCCTCATTAGATCTTTACCTCCATTTGATTTTGCAATACAGGAGAATATACTCTGCCAGAAGAACTTTACATGAAAAAAAGGTTATGCATAATTTGTAGCTATAGGTTAGGTGATTCAAAGGTCAGTACCAGTACCAGACTGGTAAAATGTTGGTAAAATGACTAGGTACAGTACTTCAGTCACTCAGTACATCAGTAATACTAGCTGTTCAAAGTAAGTTGCACCAACTAGAATCATTTAAGAGGATCCATACTTTTGTAAATAGGTGGTCTGTGGGTTAAGAATGTCCGACTTACAGACAACTCGTATTTGCGAATGAACTGCCATAAAGCCTATTATAATGAAAAAAACTGAGTTAAATACAATGATTGATAATTATACTGCTTTGCGACTCCAGTAACATTGCGTGGTTTCAGCGGTTCATCAGCTGGAAGCACGGTGCAGTACCATATGTAGTTACTGTTACTATTACTCCTCCTCTTCTTCTTCTTCTTCTTCTTATTATTATTATTATTATTATTATTATTATTATTATGTCTTACCTACTATCAACTCTTCTCTTTCTTCTATTTGTGTCGCACTGTTTTTGCAATGCCTGCACTTTTTGCACACTTGCACTTTATGTACTGTAGTCCTGTGTTGATGTAGTGTTATATGTAGCACCATGGTCCTGGAGGAACACTGTCTCGTTTCACTATGTACTGTATCACTGTATATGGTTGAAATGACAACAAAAGCCACTTGACTTGACTTGACTATTATTATTATATATTATTAAGATGTTTTAGTGTATTTGGAAGTGTCAAGTGTTTGATATGCATAGAGACAAACATTTGACTAACTGACATTAAATTAGTACCAAAGGTACCTGTCCCGACTTACCTACAAATCTGAGATAAAGACTGGCTTTGGGAATGGATCTTGTTAGTAATCCAGGAACTGCCTTTAAGGAAATAGTGCTATCTGCAGTGTTCTGACTTGTACTTTTTTTCTTTCAGTTGCGTATCTATGCCCAGCCATTGCAAATCAATACAGCAAATTATGCTGCAGATACCACGAAGATAATATTTGACTATTTTGAGACATACTTCAACATGAAATACTCCATGCCCAAGCTAGGTAGTATCCACTGAGCTTCACCGTGCTTTGTGTCCTTGTGCCTGAGCAATTTTTCCTTTCTTCATTTGCTTGATATGAATAGTGCTTTCACAATTCTTGCATTGTGTATTTCTGGTTTAGATCTAAGCAACTGTACTTAGTTTCATCAAAGCTTTTTGAAATCAAGCAAATACTTGGAAGAAGATTCCACACAATTTGGTTAGCGAGTTAGCAGATATGTTGTGGGATAAATAATGTGGTCGCTTTTTACAGACAAGATAGCCATCCCAGACTTTGGCACAGGGGCCATGGAGAACTGGGGGCTCATCACCTACAGAGAGGCGAACCTCTTGTATGATGAAAAAGATTCATCATCCTACAACAAACAGCGTGTGGCCAGTGTTATCGCCCATGAGCTGGTTCACCAGGTAAGGACCCTAATACCAGTACACCAAAGAGGAAACAGTGTTTGATGTTTGTAGACTTCAACCCAAGTGGTTCAAGTTTCCCTAAAAAAATAATTGTAGTAAAAATAGCCTAATAAATGAATGATTAAAGAGTAATATTTTGAATGGCGATTGGCGCTGGGCAATTAATCAATTATGATTCAGTTTCAGTTACAATGGGGCTTTAGGGGATGACAGGGTTGTGCAGTGGATAGCACTGTTGCCTTCCATCTCTATGATCTGGGTTTGAGTCTCTGTCATGGCTTTATGTGTGTGGCGTTTGTATGTTCTCCTCATGTTGTCATGGGGTATATTCGGGGTACTTCAGTTTCCCCCGATATTCCAAAAACATGCTGAGGTTAATTGGAGTTACCAAATGGCCCATGGGTGTGCTTGTGTGAGTGTGCCCTGTGATGGGCTGGTGCCCCATTCTGGATTGTTTCCTGCCTTGTACTCATTGGCTCTGGACCCCATGCAACCTTGAATAGAACCCATTGTTTCAGAAAATACATGGAAGGATTTTGGCTTCAAATGATTATCAAAACAAAATAGTCAAGAAAAAGCAGTTACTGTGCTGCATTTTTGTTGGCAATGATGCTCCCCTTATGTCTCGTGTTATAAATCCAGCACACCCCTTTCCAGTCCCATCTTATTTGCCTCTAAGTTCTATTGCATTTAGAATTCAAGAATATCCACAATTGAAAAAAACACTTTTTGAAAAGTTGAATAAATGCATGATATTTCCAAAGTCAGTGAGTAATCAGGTTAAATGATCATGATCATAATAATGACCAAAAATAATCGTGATTATGTTTTTTCCATAATCGAGCAGCTCTAATGGTGGCATTATGGTTAACATAATCTTGTATCATAGCTTGACACTTCAAATACCACGAATCATTGTGTTCTAAGTTTCTTGAATAAGGAATTGTTTAAGGAAATGCTCTGCGCAATTTGGAAAAAAAGTAAGCCTAAACATAAAAATACAAGCTAAATGGTCATGTTAGCAGAAACAGTAATGGAAATGATGGGAAGCGATTTTTTTATAGCAGAAAATCTTGAGTAGTGTCTGATATTAAAAGAAAACAGCAGATGTATTTTTATTCATTGTGAGCAAAAGTCACCCCATAACCACGTTCTTTTATAAACATTCCATTTAAACCTGGATTTCTGGATTATAAGACAATTATGCAAGAATTTAATTAAAAGCAATATAATTGGCACCTCTTACATTTATCTACATTTAGGAAATGATCCCTTTTCTCCTATAGAAATTCACATGCTCACCCCAGTTAAAAAAAAAAAAACAATCTAAAAGACGGAAGTTCTGTTTTCCGGAAACCTGGTAGCTAATTCGTTTATCAGATTATCACATTCCTGTATATCTTATTATTGATCACCAACTGCTAAAAACATCTTTATGGCGAGATACACGATCTCTGACTGCGTGATAAAAATGGTGAGACTTGCAACATAGTTTTATTAGCTCTCCAAGGCTGAGTCAGGCTGAGATTTCTGCTGACCTTTCAGAGATATATGGTAAAGAGTTGATCTGTAAACCTGGTTATCTTAGCAGTGTATGACATCAAAATGCCCCATTGCTGATATAACTGAGGGAAAGTACAGAGACTCTTACTGGTCCTAAAATAAATGCAGAGGTAGTTCATTCTTTACATTTGTTCTCTGGTAGCTCTAAAGTAAATATTGTTTACTTTTATTTATTTTCAAGTATCGGGTCATAAACAAAATAAAAAAGTTTTTTTTTTTCGCTTTTATTTACCAAGGTTGCCTATAATTCTAGAGTGCACTGCATATGACATATTTAAAAGTATAAAAATTCAATCATAGGTGTGTTTTAACAATGCTTTTTCAGAGTCCTTGACCCTTAAGGGACATTTTTAAAAACTTTATGGTTGGAGTAAAATAAGGAAATGTTTCAGTAAACAGTTATTCAGCATTTATCACAAGCCAGTGAAAATGTGTTTATGCACAGCCAATAGTTTCTTACGTTTGTTTTGCGTTCATTTTTGGAATTCTCATAATTGACTGCATGCATATGATGTGTACAAATCTTTTCACATAGCAAATAGTTTTTCCAGCAAAAGAAGTTAGGCAAGATAAATATTTTGATTTTGTTACTTAATAATTATAACCACTTGCTGTTCATGTCCTTCTGCTGAAATAGTTTTCGGTTGAGCCAGGAAATGGGCTTCTGAGTACTAGGGGCTTAGACCTCAAAAGGGAACTTTAGTGTGGGCCCTGAACTTGTCTGATAGCAGCAGTGTTCTATATGTGGTGTTTTGGGGGCTTTGGGTGGTGTGTAGTTCTCGGAGTGTGACTGGAAGGTAATGGGGTCAAATCCCAATGCTGGCGGAGGAATCGTATTGCCATCGAGCCCTTGGGAAAGGCCCTTAACCCCATTTACTCCAGGGACCATTTGACTCCAGGGACCATTTTGACTGCTCCTGCTCCCCATTTGTGTTATCCTACAATTTCTTGTAGTTCTTGTTTTCCCCGTTTACTTTTGACCCCTCATGGTCCTTTATTTTCCCTTGTGTGTTCAGCTTGTTTACTGAACCCCTTTTTGTCTTGGAGCCACTAGTGGATCATCATCTTTTTCCCTCCTGCACCATGCCGAGCTGTAACAACTGGCATGTAATGTGCTGCCACGTAACACCCATGAAAAGATAAGGTTGAGAAAAAGAAGGCAGAAATGTGAATTTGAAACTCTGGCCCTTCCAATATAAAGCCTATCTATAGAGTAACCTATTGCATTAACATCCATTTACAGTGGTTTGGCAACATTGTCACAATGGATTGGTGGGATGATCTCTGGCTCAATGAAGGCTTTGCCAGTTTCTTCGAATATGTTGGAGTGAACATAGCAGAGCCAACATGGGAAATGGTGAGCCTTTTACGGATGTGTCAGAATTTATTGAAAGCACTCTGACATACTGGAAGTGGCAGAGGGCTGAACACTCTTATCTCTCTGACAGCGTGACATTATGCTAATCGACGACGTCCTACCTGTCATGGTTGACGATGCACTTCTCTCGTCTCACCCAATCATCGTGAATGTGTCGAGTCCAGCTGAGATCACATCAGTGTTTGACGGTATATCATACAGCAAGGTAAAGCTCTTATCCAAAAAATACAACCATTAACAACTGTAGCTACCAAGAGTCTGACGATTGCAGCTTAATAGTTATCTGTGTTGGGGAGTAGCTAGTTACATGTAATGGCGTTATGTAATTAAATTACAAAATAAATGTAATTGTCATCCATTATAGTTACTGAGAAAAGAGATGTAATTAAATTAGTTACTAATCAGAATGTTGGCAATTATAAAGGGGTTACATCTGAATATTCTTTTTAGTAAATATGTAGAATATAACATTCATTTTGTTACTTTACATCTTTTTGCCCTGCCGAAATGCCTTTTTTCGGGGATATATTCATACAACACAGGTCTGCAAAGCTGTTGGAACTTTTCAGCTTTATTGTCCAATTTCACACATTTGTTGGAAAAGCAATGAAAAAGTAATCAAATCTTAGTAGATTTTTGAATGAGGTAACCAGTAATCTGTAACCTATTACATTTCAAAAGTAATATTCCCAACACTGATAGCTATTACAATCATTTGCACCATTTTCAATATCAAAGCAATCACTGCTTTATTATCAAATATGTGTCATATAAGTTAACATTATTAATGTACAACATTACTTATTCTGCCCTCTCTCTGCCTGTAGGGGGCTTCTATTTTGAGGATGCTGGAAGATTTAATGGGCTATGATATTTTCAGGCAAGGTTGTCAGGTAGGTTTCTCATTAAAATAGCATTTCTTCGTATAGACTGACAGAAAGTTTCAATCCATAACATTCATTACTGAAAGCTGGGGGTTTGACACTTATACATCTAAAAACATTGATAATTGGAAAAAAGTTACAAAATAAATAAAATCTTGTTTTTTGATGGAACAGAATGAAGATTTGGCTTTGAATGTGTAACTTATTTATTTTTTTTATCTTCCCCAGCAATATCTACAAGACTTTAAGTTTAAGAATGCTAAAACGTCTGATTTTTGGGCTACTTTAGCAAAGGTAAATGTTAATCCTATTGTCTCTTTCTGTTTACTGTCATGCCCACCCGCATGCACAATGCGGTGTACTAAGTCTATGAGTGATTGCAGTGCTGTGGCTGTACAGGTTAGTGGATTACCTGTAGCAGACATCATGGACACATGGACCAAACAGATGGGCTACCCTGTGGTGGACGTCACCATAGTTGGGACACAAGCCACACTAACGCAACAGCGCTTCCTGCTGGATCCCAATGTAGATCCCTCTCAGCCACCTGTCCCGCTGAGGTAAGCCGGTCACTGCATTGTATTGTTTCAGCAGCGTTCCCATGAGGCACTTTGAGACTCAGAAGAGCTGTGCCCCCACAAAGCAATTGCCTTTCTTCAGAAGATAAGACTCACGTTTAACTACATCGCCCATAATGTGTGAATGAAACTCACAAAACTGCAGGATTCACTAACTTTTAGTAGTAACTGCTACAGCATGCTTAGAAGAATGATTGATTATTTAATTTAATTATTATTATTTTTATTCACAAATTAGACCAATATCAGTGGAGTGTTAGATTTAAAGAAATTAAAATTTATTTGAATTTTAAAATTAATTTTATTTAAAAATACATTTTAATTTTACCAGTCCAAATGGTACATACTATATTTATTTTATATACTCCTGATGCCAAGCATCTTTTTTCAAAATAAGGCCTTTAAGCCAATTGTGGCTGCTGTTATACCGGCATGGCTGACCCCTTCCTGACATCACTCATTCATAGACTGGGATTCCTCCCACACCGTAAATTGAGAGCCCTGATTTCTCCCATTAAGAGATTCACCTCTGCTATGCCACACACTCAGTGAAAATGAATCATTTGGCTATTATTCACTTCTTTATAGCTACAAATGGACCATCCCTATTAAATGGGAAGCTACCGACAGTAAGAAGTATGATAGCACAATATTTGATAAAGCAAATACAGGTAAGAACAAATCATTATTTCCAAATTTATAAAAATAATAGATTTTTACCATTTTTTAGTCTGAAACCACAGTAATTTTTCATAGTCTAATGTGGATGTGAGCAGTTCTATATCCTAACCAATGACTTTTTTTTTGGTTCAGATTTAATTCTGCCTGACTATACAAATGCAGATGGACTAATAAAATTAAACAAAGGTCACATGGGCTTCTACAGGACCAACTACAATAGCAACATATGGGATAGCGTGAACCAGTATCTTACCACAAATCATTCGGTAATTTTGTTTGATCAGTCTTTTTTGGATTGGCACTAATACTGTTATGACTGCCCTTGCATTACTATGCTTTTGACACTGCAATCAGCACTGACCCATAATGTTGTTTATATTTTAAAGGTATTTACAGCAGTGGACAGGTGTGGCTATATTGACGACATATTTGCTCTGGCTCGGTAAGGGTCCCTATTGAAGATACATTTTGCCGTACATTACATATAGCTACTTCCTACACAATAATGTGTTTTTGTTCAAGTGAAGTTTAGAAATAAATGATCAAAAACGCATCATTTATTGGTGTTGAGTTTCTTCACTGCTGCTTTAAAACAGGGCAGATGTTGTGGACTATGGGGCCGCCTTCAATCTGACTAAATACTTGAGTAGTGAGAAGGACTACATCGTTTGGGCGCGAGTGGCATCCTCAATCTCATACTTGCAGGACATGCTGATGGATGATGATGATCTCTACCCTAAATTTCAGGTTGGACTTGGTGAATAAGAGTGATGTTTTCCGTATGTAGGTATATTTGTTCATTGAGTGAAAGATTTGGTAACACTTTCTGTGAATGCCATGTCTACAAGAATCTATGAACACATTATAATGCATTCATAGAGCTTTATAAACATGGCTATTAATATTTATAAAAAGGTTTAACACATTATAGCCATGTCTATTATGTATTATGAATGCTTTTTGAAGCTCTCATCTAATCTATGCACTCATTCATTCTTAAACAGACCATTATAATCTATTATGAAGGTATGTATAGTGCATTATATATGAAAGCTTAACTGGAGCTTATGTAGTGCTACAATCAAGACTATAATGCCTTATGACTCTTAATAGAAGATGTTGTAATACTTTAATTCTTATACCAGCCATTATAATGCATTATGAAGGTATCTATAATGCATTATAAATGACAGTTTCAAGTAAAGTGTTACCAAAGATTTTGGTCTTTTGAAATAATCCTAACCCCTCTGTGGTGCAAAGGTGCCCCCTATCAGCACTATTGTTTGACTGTTGCCGCCATTAAAGGATACCTTCACTCATTTAAAATATGCTGATTAATCACCTGTTAAAACAGTACCACTCAATACAGGTGACACTTATTCACCATATGAGAGTGAAACACATTGGTATCTTAGGAATCAGGAATTACTTCACCAGCTGAAACAACCCTGTGCCACGCCATTAAAGACCACAGACTTCACTGCTAGTTCCTATTTAATCACATTTCTTTCTATTCTTAAAGAAACATTTCCGTGATCAAGTTCTGACTGTGGTCAGAGAGCTAGGCTGGACGGACACTGGAAGTCAGATTGAGAGGTGAGAAAGTTATAATCAAAATGCAGATTCTGAGGTACAAAACAAAAAGCATATTCTGAAAGCCATCTGAAAAAGTTCAGTATTCTGAGATATTGTATTACAGATCTATGATCTTCAAATGTAGCATAAAGTTTAAAGACTGAGGGCTACAGATATGCATCACAACACCAGTGTCAAGAACCATGAGTTATGTGAATTTATACAAATCTATCTCCTTTGTTGTCCCTGACCTACAGACTCCTGAGAGAGACTGTCCTGGGAATCGCCTGTGCAATGGGTGATGAAGAATCTCTTAATATGTCCTCCACTTTGTTCACACAGTGGCTTAACGACAAAATGTAAATATGCAAATTTTATAGTTGTCCATTTAACACTACAGAGGGGAACGATTTTAAAAACATGAATGAATGCAAAGTAAATGCATATGTAGCTAGAAAGTGGATGGATGTGAAAATAATGTGCCATGAGTGAATACATTTATTTGACAAAATCGACATTATTGTGTGGCTTTATTTGATAATGATAATGTTCTGCTTCTCAAAGAATAAAAAATCATCAATGGTCTGTCAATCAAATGGTAAAACACCCAATTGGAATAGTGTGTCTTTATCATTTGACAGGATGTGTCTAATGCCATCCTTCATTAACAATAACTTACACTTATGCAAATGGGAAATAAAACATCATTTAATTTTTCATTACAGTAGTCTAGGTGTCAATCTTCGCCTTTTGGTTTATCGTTATGGTATGAAGAATTTGGGCGATGAGGCATCGTGGACCAAAATGTTTGACCTGTACCAGAAAGCGACTTTGGCCCAGGAGAAGGAGAAGCTGCTGTATGGGCTGGCATCAGTGGAGAATGTGTCACTGTTAGACCAGTAAGCAGATAATCACCAGGAGATGAAACATAGCTCCAGATCTGATAGCAGGGACCTGGTAACCATGTTAACAGCAGATGCAAAATCAGTCTTCTACATTTTTGGTTCTATTCATCGTTGCACTATGCCTTAGAAAGTCAAAAATGTATTTATGAGTTTCACCATTGAATTTTATTACAATTGACCAGAGGTGGATAGTTCAAGTCCAGAAAGCAAAAATCCAGATCAAGATTTTATTTCACCCAACCAGTTGAGTACTCTGTGACTGTGACTCTTTATACTCAAGTGGTTGGTTGAAACAAAATCTTGGTCTGGATTTTTACTTTCTGAACCAGTTCTATCCACCTCTGCAGTTGACGTTAGAAATTTTAAATGGATTTGTAAGAGAGAAAAAAAAAATCCCACATATTCTAGTCAACAGGTGTCAAACTACAGTCCTGGGGGGCCGGAGCCCTGCACATTTTTGGGTTTCCCCTCGTTTAACACACCTGATTCAACTCCTTGCAACTCCTTGTGCTAATTACCACACAGCCCTTGAGCTGAATCATTTGTGGAGGAACAGGGAAAAAACTAAGCGACACAGGGCTCTGGCCCCTAGGACTGCAGTTTGACACCCCTGTTCTAGTCTGATCACACAGTCTACTAAATTAAAACTGTATACTTCCTTCACCTGGCTGTTTCCCAACAGGAAAAACAAGAAGCTAAACTGAAGTACAAGGGTTTATGTCCCATTTTTTATTGTTAACCATATCACTTGAGATCTGAGGAAATTGATTTACTGCATCTGTTAATAAATAACCCTGGATTATTTATAAAAAAAACAGTATCCACAAGTACATGTAAAAACAAGATATAGGAAAATGATCAGATTGGAAAATAGGAGGAATCAAAGAGGATGAATCTATTGCTTCTTTTTAAACGTTAAAACTATTTTTTAATTACAGGTTGCTTGAGGCAACAAAAGATGAGAAGATAATCAGAAGTCAGGATGTGTTTACCGTGATCAGATACATTTCTCTGAACAAATATGGGAAGACGATGGCGTGGGACTGGGTCATACTGAATTGGGAGTATCTTGTCAACCGGTAAGAATAGCTCTTTTTAATGAATTTGTTTCATTTAGTGAATCAGCTTAACCTTTAACAGGATCAATATCAATTTTTTTTTTTTAAGAAAATTTCCCAGCTGGATTTAGTTATAACACCACCATAGATTACAAAAGCACACTGAGATTACTGGCTACTGTGAGCATTTAACCTATCAAGCTGACTAACAGCACCTCACAATACTTACATATGTTCAACATTTAACATACAACTGGGTTTGGGTGCTTACATTTACACTTAAATATATCATGTTTAAAAAATTAAATAAATGGGTAACACTTAACTTGAAGCCATCACCTACAATGCAATATAGATACCTTCATAACGGTCGATATAAAAATGTAAAAAGCAGTACAGCGTCTTCTATTGACAGTCATAAGACATTATAGTGTTGATCACAATATTTCATAAGCTCCAATGGAAATCTCATGGATAATGTATTATGACGGTATCTATAGTACATTACAATGGTTGGTATAAGCATTAAGGATGCTTTGTACTGAATTATAAAGGTATCTAAAATGCATTATAGATGAGAGCTTCATAAAGCATTCGTAATGCAAAATAAATATGGATATAATATGTTATCCTTTTTAAAAATATGTATAGCCATGTTTATTATGCTTTATGAATGCATTATAATGTATTATGAATGTGGTCATAGATTCTTATAGACATGGCATTCATAGAAAGGGTTATTAATGAATGATTATACCCTGATTTGGGATTGCAAATACAGCAGAAATACTGTATTAGAGGGCCTGTCACTGTGAAATTCTGAAATCCCGATATTTACTAGTGGAAGAATCTAAAACAATGGTTACTTTCTGAACCAGGTCTATCCACCTCTGCAGTTGACATTAGAAATTTTAAATGGATTTGTAAGAGAGAGAAAAAAATTCCCATTCATTCTAGTCAACGGGTGTCAAACTCCAGTCCTGGAGGGCCGGAGCCCTGCACATTTTTGGGTAACCCATCTGCTTCTGGCTGACTACCTGCTGTGTGTACAAAAAACATGACAGGAAAAAGACAGTAATTTTCTCTCCATGACAAATATCCATCCATCCATCCATCATCTACTGCTTGTCCGGGGTTAGGGTCGCGGGGGCAGCAGCTTCAGGAGAGGCACCCAGACCTCCCTCTCCCCAGCTACCTCCACCAGCTCCTCGGGGAGGACACCGAGGCGTTCCCAGGCCAGCCGAGAG